CGAGGAAAAGTACTTTTTCCTCGTAATCTCCTCGTAAATGTACTAAGGCCTTACGAGGAAAGTGTTTCCTCGTAAGTTTTCGAGGAACTTACGAGGAAATTTGCTTTCCTCGTAAGATCCTAGTAAAGGCTTAGTAAATTTACGAGGAAGAATTTTCCTAGTAAAATTTCCTAGTAAATGCTTTGTTTTCTTGTAGTGTGAATTGTACTTCAGAAGAAGATCTTACCGCAGTTCTACGACAAGGTCCTTTCCATTATAATTTCTGCATGTTCGTGTTAGTGAGGTGGGAGCCTATTGTTCACGATGATTACCCATGGATTATTCCATTCTGGGTTACCATTACTGGAGTACCTTTGCACCTGTGGACAACAAAGAATTTGGAAGGTTTTGGACGCACTCTGGGCCGCGTAGATACGCTGGAGCTTGAGGAGGGTCGGATGCTTATAGATATAGACACGCGTAAGCCTCTTAAATTCACAAGAATGGCAACAAATTCAGAGGGAGATGCAGTTACAATTAAGATCGCATATGATATGCTCTTTAAGCATTGTACAATATGCGGTTTCTTAACCCATGAAAAGGATCATTGTCCTTTGAAACCACCACAATGCTCTGTTTTTGACCTAGTGGAGCATAAACAGGAGGGGGCTCAGATATTGTCAGGACGCCGCGAGATTAAACCAAGGCTTAATACTTCTTCTTCAAACACAGTGGTTCTCAACCATCAGCTGGAAAATGATCCCAATAATGCAACCGAGTTACAGTTGAATCGTCATGATACTGCTGTCCATCATCGACCAGATGGGGTCTCCAAAGGCAGTGGTGTTGGTTTCTCACACCATGGCAAAACTGATAGGGTGGAACGAATAACAAATGAGCGAGCTAGCAATAGATATGTTCATTCACCCTATGATCGCCATGATAATCATCGCTGGAAGAAGTCTTATGCTTCATATGCATCGAACACTGCAAGGGATAGATCAATGGAGGTTCAGAGAGTCTCTAGGAGAGATGAGCGTAAGTGGGAAGGGGAAGCATCAAGCTGGAAAGGTACTGGAAATCGCAGGAGCCCTACTTTGGCTATTAGGAGAGATAGGAGGGAATGGCGTGAGAAGAGCATGAGTACACATACTACTGCTGAGCAACAATATGACAGAAGGAACAGTCTCCGGGATAACCTTGCGACGGAGGAAAACAACTTTACTCGCGTGAGCCATAACGAGGAGCCACGGAGTCACACTCGGGAGAGGGATTCACGAGGTCAGGCCGGTGCTGCACGGTCTGAGACGGATGATGCTTCGCCTAATCACTTGGTACATTAAGATGAAAGTAACGAGACGGTGGTACCTGCCAGGAACCGTGGTGTACTCAAGGAATCTCGTGGAGGTCCTTATGACCAGGTGAAAGCACGGGATAAGAGTACTTTGGAGAGTATTGTGGAGAGTCACCATGTTGAGTCCCCGGCGGTATTGGTGAATCCACAGAAGAAACGGCTTGCCAGCAAGATCACATCTCCAAACATGCAGGATAATGTGACAGTTCATCCTAGAAGTGTGATGCGTTCCTTGACGTTTCATACTGTTTCAGCTGAACCTGAGGATGAGGATGCCCGAGTCATTGACGCTTTATCTGAGATGGGGCCTTTACCACATGAGGATGAAAGATCGAATGGAGACGGATTATGATCTCTTTGATGACGAACTCTTGGACTTAGAGGCACCAGTACCACAACCTTCCTCACGCCAAACTGAGACGGGTGGTACCTCAAAAAGCTTGAAGGGAGTAAAGCATGGGAACAGGCGTACACCTAGGAAGAAAGAGGTCCTTCGTCGGGGATCTCCACGTCTACGAGGTCTAAGCTCTACTTCTCAGAAGTACACTGGTGGAAAGGCTAAACCAAAACACCATATCCATAATGCTAGGGAGGGTCGGTCTAAGACAACTAAAACAAGTGGTTCAGTGGGATCCAAAAACCCACTCCATTTGTATCCATGAGGACACTCAGTTGGAACTGTCGAGGGATTGGGACTGACCTCACAGTTCGACGCCTTACGGAGATGTGTCAGAAGCATCGCCCAGGACTAGTGTTCCTTTCTGAAACTAAGAACAGGAGGCTGCTGTTGCAAGACATTCAGGCCGACTTAGGATACGACCGTTTGTTTACCGTTGAGCCACGTGGTCTCAGCGGTGGTTTAGCTTTATTTTTTATGGATGATTTTCATGTTAAGATTTTATTTTCTAATAACAGAATGATTGACATTGAGGCAGTCATTGATGGAATAAAAGTCTATATGACATTTGTTTATGGGGATCATGTAGTAGAACAGAGAGAATTAGTTTGGGAACGTCTTACGCGTTTCTCAACAACACGAAATGGACCTTGGTTTATGATTGGTGATTTTAATGAAATTACTTGTCATGAAGAAAAGGAAGGTGGCAGACAACGCACAGATAATTCTTTTTTGCCTTTCAAACAGATGCTTAGTGACTGTGGTATGCTGGAGTTTCCGTTTACAAGAAATATGTTTTCATGGGTAGGAAGAAGAGCAGGAAATAATATTGTAAGATGTCGTCTTGATAGAGCTGTGGGTAATGAGAATTGGCATGAGAAATTTCCTCATTCCAAAGTGCAGTATCTAAGGCTTTGGGGTTCGGATCATCGTCCAATCCTGGCAGACATTCTTAAAAAGAAGCCACGGAGATCGAAAAATTTTAAATTTGATAAGCGATGGCTTCAGAATGAGGAACTTAGACACATCATTCTTGAGGGATGGAAATCACCAGATCTGCCACCGGGTGCAAGTATTATGGAGCATATTTCAAGCTGCGTGTGTTATGTGATTGGAAGAGACAACATAACCTGAATTCAGAGAAAACTGTAGAAGAGCTAAAGGACAAGGTGGATCGTTTATCGTCCAATGATGATGCAACTACAGAGGAGATATCGGCGGCATTAAAAGAATTGTCTGATGCCCTTAAGGCGGAGGAACTCTTTTGGAAGCAGAAGTGCAGGATATTCTGGCTAAGGGAGGGAGATCGGAATACTAAGTTTTTTCATGCTCTGGCGAAGCAGCGAAGAGCGAGGAATAGGATAACCCAATTATTAGATGCAGATGGGAATGTTGTAGAGGATGAGGAAGGCCTAGCAGCCATAGCTACTAGTTATTTCCGCCAAATATTCCAATCATCGAATCCCGAGGAGATTGAGGAGGCACTCTCAGAAGTTAGCACTACAATTACGCCTGCAGATAATGAGGGTCTTACAGGGCCGGTCACAGAGTGGGAAGTCAAATTAGCTCTTTTTGCTATGCACCCTGAGAAAGCTCCTGGACCTGACGGAATGACGGCTTTGTTCTATCAAAACTTTTGGGATATCGTTAAGGATGATTTGACCCGTATGGTTAATGATTTCTTGTTCCAATGGAGCATCCCGACTGGTCTCAATGACACTAATATATGTCTTATCCCAAAAGTTGACAGGCCAGATCAGATGAGCCAGTTACGGCCTATTAGTCTTTGTAATGTTTGTTACAAAATTATATCCAAGGTCTTATGCCAAAGACTAAAGAAGGTCCTCCCAGATAGGATTTCTGAAACTCAGTCAGCCTTTGTTGCTGGGAGACAGATATCAGATAATATAATGATAGCCCAAGAGCTGTTCCATGCCTTAAGAACAAAACCAAGTGGGCGCAATAAGAGGATGGCCATTAAAACAGACATGAGCAAGGCGTATGATCGGATGGAATGGTCTCTCATTGAAGCCACCATGAGGAAGATGGGATTCTCAGAAGTCTGGATTTTCTGGATTATGCGTTGTGTAACAACAGTGAAGTACAAGGTACTCATGAATGGACAGCCAAGAGGGAACATTGTCCCGGAAAGAGGTTTACGTCAGGGGGATCCTTTGTCCCCTTTCATTTTTATTCTATGCACGGAAGCGCTCGTTAGCCTTCTTAATCACGCAGAGAGTCAGGGAAAGATAACGGGGATGCGCATCACGCGTGCGTGTCCATCGATATCCCACCTGCTTTTTGCTGATGATAGCCTTTTCTTTTGTAAGGCGGAGCCCCGTGAANCGCTCGTTAGCCTTCTTAATCACGCAGAGAGTCAGGGAAAGATAACGGGGATGCGCATCACGCGTGCGTGTCCATCGATATCCCACCTGCTTTTTGCTGATGATAGCCTTTTCTTTTGTAAGGCGGAGCCCCGTGAATGTGAAGAAGTAATGAAAGTGGTTAGGAAATATGGACAAGCCTCTGGACAATGCATTAATTTTGACAAGTCTTCTCTACTCTTTGGTAAGAGGATCGGTCAAGAGGCAAGACAGGAGATCAAAGATACACTTGGGATCCAAAATGACGAAGGAATGGGGACCTATCTAGGGATACCTGAGGATATCAGTGGATCAAAATGTAAACTGTTTGCATTCTTAAAAGACAAACTCCGGCATAGAGTGAATGGATGGACGGGCAGGTGGTTATCTAGAGGCGGGAAGGAAGTAATGATCAAGTCTATCCTGTTAGCTCTCCCAACTTAGGTTATGTCTTGCTTTCTGCTTCCTTTGGAGATATGTGATGCCTTGGCTAGTGCCATTACACAGTTTTGGTGGAGCTCAAACCCACCGAAGAGAGGATTACATTGGACAACATGGGATAAGTTATGTCTATCCAAAGAGGAAGGAGGGATTGGATTCAGGATGATCCATGAGTTTAACCTGGCATTGCTAGCGAAACAGTTGTGGAGATTGGCCCAAAATCCAGATTCCTTGGTAGCTCGAGTTATGAGGGGGCGGTATTATCGGTTGAGCTCGCCTTTGCGAAAGCTCGCTGTTAGCAGTCTATCATATGTGTGGACAAGCATCTCGGCTGCACGTGACCTTTTGCTATTGGGAGTTAGACAGAAAATCCATTCAGGTTACGAAGTAAAGGTATGGGAAGATCCATGGATTCCCACAATCCCAGCGAGATCAGCAAATGCAACTGCCCCGGTGCTGCATCCGAACATGAGAGTGAGTGATCTTATAAATCAAGAGACAAAGTCTTGGGATCTGGAGAAACTGGCTAACTATGTTGACGCTGCAGACATACCTCTCATAAGGAGTATGGCAATTAGCTCAACCCATCGCAGAGACACACATTGTTGGAGTTACACCAGGAGCGGGCAGTACACCGTTAAGTCCGGTTATTGGGTAGCTCGAAATATATTAATGAAGGAGGAAGATAATATGGTGGCTGAACCTAGCATTAAGAGGCTTCAAGCACATGTTTGGAAGGTCAAGGCACCCCCGAAGATGTGCCATCTTATGTGGCAGGTCATATCAGGGCAGTTGGCTGTTACGAGTGCGCTAAATCATAGACACATGAGATGCGATAACTACTGCCCACGATGCGGAGAACCAGAGGAAAAAATTGCACATGCGGTTTTTCAATGTCCACCGGCCTTACAGGTGTGGGCCTTAGCATCTATACCTACCAGTCCGACTTTGTTCCCTTTGGAGAGCACATATGCGAATATGGACTATCTATTCTGGCGAAAGAAGGCCATTTGTGGGCCAGATTTAGACAAGGATCCTTATCCTTGGTTAATATGGTACATTTGGAAGGCTCGGAATGATAAGTTGTTCAGAGGAATAGATGGAGACCCTTTAGAATTGGCCCGGTACGCAGAGAGTGAGTGTCTTGCTTGGTTCCAAGCTAATGAGCAGGAAAGTGTGAGTGCACAAGAGACCGATGATACGGATCGTCAGGCCATAAGCCTACGGGATATCTGCATGTTAGATGGTTCTTGGACCGCTATTGACCAATTCTCCGGATGTGGTTGGGAGTGGAGGGATAGCAGGGGAAATATTCAGCGGATGGGGATGCGCAATGTGAGTAGAGTGGAGTCGGCTTTGCACTCTGAGCTGGAAGCACTGCGGTGGGCAATGGAGAACATGCTTCAACATTCGCCATGTCAGAGCTTTGGGACGGATTGTAAGGAATTGGTAGCAATGCTCACGGATCCCCATGGATGGCCAAGCTTTTCGACGGAACTGGAGCGGATCTTGACGCTGAGGATTTGTTTTCCAGATTTCAAGATCACTTATATACCTAGATCTCTTAATGCTGTATCCGATCATTTAGCTAAGACTGCCCGATCTTTTTATCGTGAGCTCATGTATGTTGGTTGTTCTACTCCGGTCTGGATTCCCAGACCACCTCAAGTTTGAGGAATAGATAAGCCTTTCGTTGATAAAAAAAAAAGAAAGGAGAGATCACTCGAGCTGACTATCGAGCTGACCATCGAGTAGACCAAAGGTCGACGATCAGAGTCACTTATTGATCAATGCACATTTTGTGCCATCGATCGATAGTCATTGCACGCAGAAACTTGATTTGGTTCCAGCCAACTTTAAGTCTAAGATTTCACTAAATTACTAGATTACCCCTGATGAGTTTTTACCTAGTATTTATTGCTTTGCCGATTATTTGCAGCAAAGCGTGCTTTCTTATTTTTTAGTTTTCATACCTAAATATTTAGTAAGGGTTGGAGAGAAGATTCAAGAATTCTTCAAAGCTTGTTATTGGAACTCCATTTTTACATCTCTATCTATGTAGTTTTCTTTATACTTTGTTATGATTAGCTTAGCTATGTTTGAATAGTTATATTTTTAGACATAGGGTTCAAATAGGTTATGAGGGATTAGCCCCAAAATATAGAATTGCGTTGTTGTGATATTCATCAATAGAATGTTCTTAATGCTAGTGTTCTAGAGTAGCTAACTAGAACCCCGGCCTTATAATCATTAGGCACAATGCGGTTGCTTGGTCTTTTATCTGAATAGATCCTCACTGAACTATGATTACTAGAAACAAGTGATATCTGATTTAGGAAGTCTAGTGAGAGTATCTTATCAACCCACACACAAAGCTTGCTAGAAGCGCATCG